TGCACTGTGTTGAATCGAACCTGGATCTTGTGTTTGTTCAAGATTTTGGAAATATTTTTGGTAACCCCTGCTATATAATGCAAGGTGATGGTTTTGATTGGGTTCTCAGATGGTTCTCTACCCATGGTTGGGGATACAGCTTTGCGGATTGTGCGGTCCGAATATCCATTCATCTTGAGTGCTTGGCGTAGTGCTCCTTTTCACTGGCTAGGTGGTGCTGGTCAGAGATGCAATGGGCCCTATGGTGTAGTGTTTTGATGAGGGAATTCTTCTGGGCTGGATGGTGGTGGGAATCAGGCTTTAGATAGGAATCCGTGTGGGTGGTTTTCCTGTAGACAGTGGCCCAACGAGCCATCAGGTCTCTTCTCGATCAAAACATCCAGGAATGGTAGCTTGCCATAATTTTCTACTTCCATGGTGAATTTGATAGATGGGTGTATGGAATTGATGTGGTTGAAAAATTAGTTCAGTGCTAACAGGCCATGTGGCTAGATGAGGAACGTGTCATCTCCATATCTTAGAAGTCGAATTATTGATGATATTGTTAGTTTTCGTGGCCAGGCGGTTGTTAGGATCTCTATTGATTTTGGTATAGCTGCCATCATTAAGAAGGTCCTGAATTTTGTTGTTGCAAGTGTTTTTTTTATCCATGATGACAGTGGCATTGCCCTTGTCGGCTGAGAGGATGGCAATGTCATCTCTCTTTTTCAATATTGAGCGAGTTCAAAACGCTCGTCCTTGCTGATGTTGCTAATGGGTTTCTTAACATTGTCCCCTTTCCCTCGATGTGGCGGTGGCTCTCGTTTTTTAGCAGACTATAACTGGCTGTCATGTTGTTCTGTGTGTGTGTCCCTCGGTTTGTGTGTGTCTCCCTGTATGTCTCTCTCTCTTTGTGTGTATTTGTGCCTCTCTCTCTCTGTGCCACTTTGTGTGTGTGTCTCTCTCTCTCTATGTGGGTGTGTCTTTCTGTGTGTGTCTCTCTTTCTGGGTGTCTCTCTCTGTGTCTCTCTCTCTGTGTGTCTTTCTAGGTCCCTCTCTCTCTGTATCTCTCTGTGTGTGTCTCTCTCTCTCCGTGTCTCCTGCTGCGCGCTCTATCCCCCTTGTGGCTGATATACTGTCATTACACTAGACCCTCGATCATCTCCACGCCTTTCTTTCACCCTGTTCAGCATTGCCTTTCCTTCACCCTGTTCAGCGCTCTACCCCCCTAGTGCTGATATACCGCCACTACACATTGACATGCTAATCACTCACAATACAATGGCCACCTGAGCACAAGCTCCAGCCCCCTAGTGCTGATATACCGTCACTACACATTGACATGCTAATCACTCACAATACAATGGCCTCCTGAGCAGAAGCTCCAGCCCCCACCCTCTTGCTCGATGCGGCAACCCTCCCCCTCTCTCAGCTCTATATAAAAGGACTTGTTTCAGCAGCCTGTTTCTCACTCCCACCTGAAGACGGTTGTTTGTGTGGCGATCGAAACGTCGTGATCTATTATTATTTTTACGTGACTTTACCGAAAGAACCAAAGAGTATGGATTACTGCAGTCACGAAAGCTTAAAATCACGATTTCATCTGCTCGTTATTACTAAGATCTTTTACCATGCCTATAAATAAAAAGACAAGCCCTCACTTAAAACATGTTCACAAAACGCATTTTCTTCCATTCGAGAACACATCGCACATATCCGTTATAACACGGAACACGCCTGTTATAACGCAGAACTTGCACCATCACAGCGCTTTCCGAGCGGTCGACGACTAACTACTTTCTTGAGTTGCGTAGCTGAGTGGTACGATACACCATGCGGAATGATATACAGCAACATGGCAGTGTACCCTCAGTTATTCGTCCCGACATCTTGCTATTTATGGGGACATTTTTTATCACTGAATGTGTTTTTTGCTTGATGGGGCACGTTTCAGAAATGCATCAACCGTACACTTGATATTTGGCCATCAAGAAAGCTACTACGCTTTGGGCGTGTAAGCTTTACTGAATATGCCCGTCTTGAGTCTACTACTGTAGAATTGGCTGAGAGTTCGAGACGAATCAGTGCCAATGAGTAACCACGTAGATGGGATAAACAAAGGAAAAGTGTGCTGTAGCGACCCCGTATGAGCCGCGAAAACCCCGCGTGAGGGAGTTCTGCTCCAACCCTGCCCTGAAGGTGGGCGGCGATTAATACCACAAAATCGGACACTCGACGAAATAACCATCAGAGATTTGCCCATATATAGAAGAAAGTGGGTGTGCCGTTGGCCGAAGAGGCGCGTCTTTGCCCATATATGGTCATTGCGGATCGTGATTCGCGTTTTTTTTACCGATTCCGCTCAGTCGATACGGCAGCCATCTTGAAAATGTCCGATTTTTATCTTAAATTACATTCTGCGGTTCACCGATCATGCAATTTGTACGTATTTTTATATTAAGTTGTTCATATCGTTGATTAGACGGCTGTGTTAAATAGCTATGTAAAAACGTCCTTTGTATGCTTATAAATCAATATCATTCCAATGTCAGATTTATCATAGCTGCAATTCAGTGTTTTCTGGTTTCCGATTTAATCTTCAAACTTCACTCCGTGAGTGTCAGATTTCTTATTAAACTTCACTCAGTGAGTGCATGCAAGATCATTTTATTCCGGTGTCCTATTTCCTCTTTAACTTGACTCTGAGTGTCAGATTTCCTATTAAACTTCACTCAGTGCATGCAAGCGGGTTCGCATGTGAACCATTTTGACATTGGAGGTTAACCTAATTTCTGGAAGCAAATAAATGAAAGTGAAAAAGTCGTCACACTTTTTTATTTCGTCAACAGATCACGATATGCCAATGTAAATGACAAAAACAGTGACAAACGTTAAACGGGAGATGTGAGCAGAACTTTAAATGGTGCCACGCACTCCAGATAAATACAGGGTGCTTCTAAATTTTTTAAACACTTGAGAATTTGCAACAATATTCTTAGGTTTTTTCGGTAAAGTCACGTAGGTAAAAAATAATCAAAATTAATAAAAGTCAAATAAAAATAAAAATCACGACGTTTCGGAGGCAACACAAGCTTCCGTCTTCAGGTGGAACCGTCACAGCACGCTTGCTGTAATCAAGTAAATGAGAGATTCCAAGGGATACTACCCCGTATATATACTGGTTGAGGGGAGGGGGATGGGCCAGGACCGGCCCACTTTATTATTATGGTAAGGCTCAGTCCTTTGTTATGTAGACTAGCCGTAATGTCAAGCCACACCTTACCATAATAAAGGCTCAGTCCTTTGTTATGTAGACTAGCCGTAGTCTCAAGCCGCACCTTACCATAATAATAAAAGTGGGCCGGTCCTGGCCCATCCCCCTCCCCTCAACCAGTATATATACGGGGTAGTATCCCTTGGAATATCTCATTTACTTGATTATAGCAAGCGTGCTGTGACGGTTCCACCTGTAGACGGAAGCTTGTGTTGCCTCCGAAACGTCGTGATTTTTATTTTATTTTTATTTTACTTTTATTAATTTATATTTTTTTACCTACGTGACTTTACCGAAAAAAACCTAAGAATATGAATACTTGCAGTCACGAAAGCTTCAAATCTAGAATTTGCAACAATACCACCAGGAATGTGCTTCCGCACTGTACGTAACCAACTGTGCGAATTTCCACTTGTCACCTCAGCTTAAAGATTACTCTTAGATATGTATCTCTGCATGGGGGGCATATATTTAGTAGGTATGCATGGAGGGGGGGGGGGGTTAACTAAAATGCATACCCTTGCGTATGGGGGGGTCTATTGTCAATGTACGTTACACATATCAAACGTGGGGGGGGGGGGGGTGAAGCCTCGATAATAAATTTTCTACATTGGCCTTCAAATTAGTTAGATAGTCGGGTGGTGGACGATCTGTTTGCTTAAACACGTTAATATTATTAATCCTTGATCGTTTCTGCGTGGATTAAGTTTCGGCCGTTCTATAGGATTCGGGGGGGGGGGGGTGTCAAGCGTACGTACGCAGGTGGGGGGGGGGGGCGGTGTAAAAAGTACACGTGCGTACAGGGAGGGGGGGGAGGGATCAAGTTTTGATAGATTTTTGCGTAAGTACTAAATGGATGACCCCACGTCAGATAACGTCATTTTGGACAGCACTCTATTACAAAATTAATTGTTGATTACGTGGGGTGTTGAGACCAATCTTAGTTCCATCACCGCCACATTTTTTACATCACCTTTAGCTCATTAGATTTAAAAAACAGAAATTGTTGCCGCTGGTTGATGGGGTGAGTCGGTGTGGGTCATGACCCGTTCAAATCTCACTCATTACAGCGGTTAGACTCGAACCTTATCGCGCTTATCTCTGCACCACAGCGACTGTAGTCGGGGCGATACATGCACAGAAGCCCCACTACAATAAAGCGACATTGCAGAGAAACAGTTGAAACGGGTTAACTTGGCAGGACCCTCCTGAAAAAGAGTTGAGCCAACAAGTGACACAATAAGTGTTGAGGTCAATAGGGTATCATTACTTAAATCACTGTATGACTACGATCGACCGTGGACACTCCTGTACTCATGAAAACTACACAAATCTATATTCTTGGGTTTTTTCGGTAAAGTCACGTAGGTAAAAAAACTAAAACTAAAATTAATAAAAGTAAAATAAAATAAAAATCACGACGTTTCGGAGGCAACACAAGCTTCCGTCTTCAGGTGGAACCGGGACAGCACGATTGCTGTATCAAGTAAGAGGACTTTACCGAAAAAACCCAAGAGTATGAATCCTTGCAGTCACGAAAGCTTCAAATCTACACAAATATACTCATGAAAACTATACAAAAGTACTCTGTACATACATAGGTATTTACGATTGTTCCATTAAGGGCGAAATCGAAAGAGGAACTGCCGGTTTTCACCGTGGTGCTGAGAATGAAAAAAACACTAATGTGGAAGTGAAAGTGTTCACGAAACTTCGGGGAAATCCCGGTCTATTTAGAGAAGTGGTTACCGCCTCCTTATACTGCTCCCTATCATCAACACTGCTTTAAAAGCTACGGCGCTAGCGGTGGCTCGAGACAGCAGCGGAGTCCACGGAGAGCCAAATTGCGCTCTGTCAAGGTCAGTGAGCAACCGCACGAGCTCAAAGGCAACAAGAGTCGGTCACGGGCGGCCATAGACTTCCGCCCGCGGGCCTTGAAGAGCGGCGAAGAACGGGTAGCGTACCAGTCTTTGAAGACGTAAATACATCCGAAGATGAGTCAAGGAGCCATGGCACAGGTGGCGCGGCCTCTTCCCTTCATCCTCACGGACGAAGACGGCAGATTCTTCATCGATGAAAAAACCGCCAAGGTGATCGCGAGCATCCAGCAGCCGGTGGTGGTGGTGGCAATCGCGGGCCGCTACCGCACGGGCAAGTCATACCTCATGAACCGCCTCGCGGGTTCCAACAACGGTGAGACGCGGTGCGGGGCGCGTGGTTACAGGGCACTGCCCGACGAACCCGGGCCACCTGAGTTGGATTCCCAGCCACGTTGGGGGCCGTCCATAAATGACGTCACGCACCTAAGGGGGGTCAGATATTTGTGACGATGTGTGACGAGGGGAGGAGGGGGGGTTTGAGAAATGTGACGTCACATCAAAATGCGTAACTTTAAATACATAAACAACGCGTTCTACTTAATTGAATAGAATTGTTATAACAACACTATTTTTGTTAATTTTCATTATTAACTATTTGATTATTTAAATGTACTATGGTCACCTTTTATTTATTACATGAAGGAGCATTTTGCTTCTCCATGGGAGAACGGAGAAGCATAAATTTTGTAAATATTTTGAATGATTGTTATTAAACATTTTGATTTTAATGATTATAATTGTACTCTCCATTTCGTTTCGTTCTCCTACAAAGTTTCAAATATGTTTTTAAAGTTATAATTAATTTTAATATTTCAAATTATAAGAGAATTTCAATATACTATTCCGAACATCTGCAGTTTTAGTTAGACGTTGAATATTTTCAAGTGAATTTTATGCTAAATTTCAGCTTTCCAGCGCCTCCTTTTTAATACATGTTTTCTCCTACAACATCAGAGTGCAGCGCCACATTAAATACGCACTACAATGACAATAGTTTAAAGCATGTTTGATTTTCAAAATTGCGTGACACCGGCTAATTCCAGGTCAGTGGATTGGCGATGAGAGGGAGGCGGGGGGGGGACCAATCACCCTGTGCAGTTTGAGTAACCGCTGACATTTATATTCGAGTACAACTCCACCTGGGTCGACGTTTGAATCGAACTGACTCGCTCACCCACCCCATCCACCCCACGCACCCCACGGCTCCCAGGGTTCTCCCTGGGGAACACGGTGCAGTCGCACACCAAGGGCATCTGGATCTGGCCGAGAGCCCATCCCCTGCACAAGGACAAGTGTCTGCTGCTCATCGACACGGAGGGCCTGGGCGACGTGGAGAAGGTCAGGGGTCCACATTTACCAAGCCGACGATGTTTCCTCAACAATCGTCACTAACATTGTGGCCCTTCAAGGAAAAACATGTACAAGTCGACGTTTCGGGCAATGGCCCCTTCTTTCAAGCAATAGCCCTTATTTAAAGCACACAAATAATTTGTAGTACTGTACATACATTGTACTATGGAGGGCCCTTTTTCGAAACGTCGCCTATTCTAGTTTTTTTTTGTTTAAAGGTTACAAAGTTTTATTGGCGAATGTGGTGGTTTACTGGGCTTGCTCACCACTGTTAACGCAGCCTCAGTACAGAAAAATGTGTTTACGATGTTTGTCGATTGCGCTGCGAGTGGGACAGCCATGATACTCAGCGACCCCCACCACCTCCTCGGGCTACCTTCATCCTCATTCCTCAAACCGCACCCTCATTCCTCAACCCCCACCCCTCATCCTCCACCCCCCACCCTCATCCTCCACCCCCACCCTCATCCTAAACCCCTCATCCTCCACCCTCATCCCCCACCCCCATCCACCACACCCACCCTCCACCCTCACCCTCATCCTCCACCCCCACCCTCATCCTCCACCCCCACCCTCATCCTCCACCCCCACCCTCATCCTAAACCCCTCATCCTCCACCCTCATCCTCCACCCCCATCCTCCACCCCCACCCTCATCCCCCACCGCCCCACCCCTCACCCCCACCTCTACCCTCTCCCCGCTCCCCCAACACAAAACACCCTTCCCTACGGTACGCACTAAACCATTGTACGATTTTTTTTTCCATTTCATTTCACCTCGTTCTCATGTGAACTGCATGTGATAACTTTCATAATAGATTTCCGAGTCGGACCGCGTGAGTAAAATGACAATTTAATCCAACTGTTAAAATGTGTGTGCTGAAGCAATCGACACTGGCGTGTTTGGGGCCGTCCATAAATGACGTCACGCACCTAGGGAAGGGGGGGGGCGGTCAGACATTTGTGACGATGTGTGACGATGGGGGAGGGGTTTGAGAAATGTGACGTCACATCAAAATGTGCAACTTTAAATAAATATAGACAGCACGTTCTACTTAATTAAATCGACTTTTAAATACATGTTTTCTCTTACAACATCAGAGTGCAGCGCCACATTAAATACGCACTACAATGACAATAGTTTAAAGCGATTTGAAGCATGTTTTATATTTTGGGGGGGGGGGGGGCAGAGCTTTGTGACGTCATATTTGAGGGGGCGTCTGACTTTTTGTGACGCCGTGTGACGAAGGGGGGGGGGGGGGTCAAAAATCTTCCAAAATCGCGTGACGTCATTTATGGACGGCCCCTTTGGTTTCCGTGACAACTCTTATTTGTTTGTGGTGTCGGGTGGATGAGGGTATACGACACAGGGATTGTACTCGCACGATCCAACCCAATAATCAGTCATGGATCTGTAGCCGATCCGCCCTGTCCTCTCTCCTCCTGCCGTGAATCCTTGCGATGGGGGACGGCTCGGCTAATTATACAACAATAAACGTAATAAAAAGTTCGGAGACGATGAGGAGTGACTTTGCATTATGTTCTATCCTCCGGAGAAGCGGGCGATTTCACAACAGCTGGGCACCAGGGGGGGATTGTGAAACAGCAAAACTTTATTTCAAAATATCAGAAGAGCAATTGCGTTACTGCAATAGCGATCAGAGAGACACCCTCCATGTCAGAACACCGCAGTTGAATTCCTCGGTACAGAAGTCAGCCCAATTCTCAATTATGATAACTAACAACATTTAACGTACATATTATTCGGCAAACATTTAACACGAAACATTTTAATATCTAACGTAAAAATCTGCCCAAAACACCTGTAGCGCCGACTACGTCCTAATAATACTGCATGAGACGATACGTACTTATATACAGTAATTAGTAATAAAGAAACATTTTTGTTTAAATTGTATTAACAATATTTTAATTAGGTGAATCATAAAAAAGTATTCTTCATTATACCAGAATCGGGAACGAAACATCTGTAAAAACATCTGTCCCGCTCACCCCAATTAGATAAATGTTAAAATTAAGCCATCGTGTGCCTCCCAATGAACAGCGAACGCCAACACAAAAATACCAAATGTTTCCTACTATTACAAAAACGACTTCTATTTTGATCACCAAAACACTCGAATCACCTTCCAACTCCGTTCTATCAATTGATTCGAGTTGGATTGATCACAATAAGCAATCGTCCTAATAATAATTAAATAACTCATCATGAGGCGCGACACGACCTTATTAGATTTCTGACACAAAAACATAAAAAAAGTGAACATCTCGTATCTGCAATAGTGATCAGAGACATGCTCCACGTCACAAAGCCGCAGCTGAATTCCTCTGTTAATGGGATTGAGCGCCAGTGTTAATATTTTAGACCCAATTATTTTGAGTATTTTATATATTGAAATAAACTTTGATATCAAAGTCTTAATTGGCCATATCTTCATTATCACTAACAGTCAAATAACATTACTGATTTCCTGTCGGTCGATTTCCATTCAAGTAATATCAATTTAAGTTTTTTTATCATTGGAACTAATGTAGCATGCAGCTTACCGGTCCAGAAGTTAACCCAAATCTAAATTTGGCATGTGCGGCCTCGGAGTCCAATCCTTGATCACCACTGCTTTCTATTATCATAATCATCATCCTAATAAAACTTACCTGGCTCCCAGTAGTTGTGTAAAATAGTTTGTTAGGTTCTCATATGCTACAAGAGTGCACATTTATACATGCGACTCATTAAAGGTAAGCCTAAAATGGCTACAAATCGTAACATTGGTGGTGAAAGGCTACGACGTGTTACATTTATCTACTTGAAATCTGATTTATTACGATTGGAGCGGTCTTGTAGCAGTTCTCATAGCAGACCTATGTGCATTTTATCTCTGCCAGATTACTATGAATATCATCATGGCAACCACCATCGCTACAATGATCATCATCATTAGCCAGGACTGGCCTAACTAAAATGATGTGCTGATTATAATCATCAAGCTCCTCCACAATCATCATAATTGTCACATCGTGTTCTCCTTGCAGGCTGGTGAGAATCACGACACGTGGCTCTTCGTGATGGCCGTGCTGCTGAGCACCACGCTGGTGTGGAACACGACCGGTGTGCTCAGCAAGGATGGCTTCGATCAACTTCAGTATCCTCCATCTCCAGGAGACCCTCCTCTCACACCCCTTCCCCGTACACCTTCATCTCCAGGAGAACTGATTCCCACTCCCAGTCCGATTCCAAAGAACACAGGATGGTGTCATATTGTCAGGGTCCAAATCTTACACTTTTTTGTTTTTATGAAAGTGCAAATGTCTCATTTGGGGATTATGTATAGTAAAATTGCGCCCACTACAAAAAGCTGGATAACCCTGCAAAAAATGTGTATGGAGGGTCCATCCGGCTACCACATTTTTATTCCCATTCTGCAGCGTTCCATTTTGAATGACGTTCAAGGAGCGGCCATAACGTACAATGCCGTTATGGCCGCTCCTTGACTGTGAATCCCTCGCAGCTTCGTGGTCAACATGACGGAGCACGTGCGCACCAAAATGCACCAGAGGGAGGACAAGGTGGGCACAGACTTCGAGCATTACTTCCCCCCCTTCGTTGTGTGCGTGCGCGACTTCACGCTAAAGCTGGAGATCGAGGGCAAGACCTGCGACGCCGACGAGTACCTGGAGCACTGTCTGGGTATGCGCAAGAAGGGGATGACAGCTAACTGCCGCTCCTTCAACGACCAGAGGGAGCTCCTAAGCAGCTTTTTCAAGGTGGGCTCGCACGCCTCCCTTACCATGCTGGTTTACCCAGGGAAGCTTCACTACGTAGCATGATAATTTTTCAAGAGGGTCCTGCCAAGGTTTCATAGTAGGGAGTGATGGTTGCTCTCTGTGATCACAATTGAGTATGTTGCAGTGTCATTTGTCAAACATGAACCATGATGCCGGCACACAGTGAATTACACTTGTGAATAATGGCATGGAATCTTTAACGTCAACTGTGAAGTGGATGGGTCGTAGTATTTTGCTGGTTAATATATGTGCAGTATCGAACAAGGCATCCGTGGAAGTTGGTGGTCAATTCGACAAAATAGCCACACATTTAGTTATTTTGACTTGGCGATGTGGAAAAGGCTGATGGGTTTTATACATGTGTAACGTAGCACCCGTAAGTTTTTTTTCTATTTTTTGAAAGTTATATTTATTCAGCATCACCGGCGGACTTCGGCAGATGAGATGTAGCTGCTACACGACGTTCCAAGAAAGCTGGTCGACTATATCGGGAGACGTTGATGTAGCCGTCCGTGCCGGTGTTAACTTAGATGATGATGATGATGACCCCGACAGTGACGACAACGATAACACTGGTCAACACACTTTTTCTGGCATAAGGTATTTCAACGGTTTTAAGGTCATTTTGGGGTGCTGATTCCAAATCTGGCATCAGTTTTTGTCTATCACATCAGGTTTTAGAGATATCAAATATTGCATTCAGGTTTTAGAGATATCAAATATAGGCTCTAAAGAAAGCTGTCTCGGGTGTGGACCAATCAATATCAAGGACAGTGCATACATTATCAGAGTTATGTTTTTTGTTTGCATTCCGACTACAGGTATTGTGGTCAATGCAAACATGACTCCTTGTAAAAAAGGTGTCAGTTTTGTTGCTAGATAATAGGGTAAAAAAAACAATTATCAGAGCCAGGAAAGTTTTTATTTTTTAAGTGAACGCAACGGTGATCAGGGATTGGACCCCCATTTGCACTGAAGAGTACAGTGCACGCCCCCAATTCAGATTTGGACAGACTTCGTGCTGATACATTGAGCTGCGGTGTTGTGACGTGGAGGGTGCGTCTGGTCGCTATTGCAGATATGCAATGTCCCTTCATAGGAACACTTTGAAACAAAGTTTAGCCATTCCACAAACCCCCGGTGCTCAGTTGTTGTGGAGTCGCCCACTCTTCCGGAGGACAGAAAACAACACGGAGTACCTACTCGTCGTCTACGAACATTACTCTTTTTTTTTATCATTGTAGCCTATTTCCTCAACCAGTCCTCCTCGTTAGGATTCACGACGGGAGGAGAGGGACAGGGCGGACCAGTTACACCGTCTTTACGTATGGAGTTTGTATAATGTTCCCTTGTTCTTCCTGGGTTTTCTCTGGGCTCCCCAGTTTTATCCTATATATTAATTTTTTTAACTGTTTTGGCTGGACTTGCTAATGCTGAATTGCCCGCAAAATTACTGAGTTGGATTTTACACAAAGCAACATCGCCTCCTACTGTGAAAACTTGGCACAACCCTTCCTGCAGAAAGTCTTGGGACTCGGGAAGACTTTTCTGGTTAAACAAGCAAAACAACAACAATAATAATCCATCTTTTGCAGTGGGATTCGTTGATAAGATATATAAAACAACGAGTTAAACTCTTCCAAAATAAAGCTGCGCACATCTCATGCCTTCGTTCACCATCCCTGCAGAAACGGAAATGCTTTGTGTTCCCGATGCCAACCCACCCTGAAGACCTGCACCACCTGGAGACCATTTCGGAGCAGCACTTGAACCCAGAGTTCCTGCGAACGGCAGAGGAGTTCACGACTCACATCCTCCAGACGGCGCACAGCAAGCACGTCGACAACGCGGTGCTCACGGGTCCCCGTGAGTCCAGCCGCTAGCGAAGCGGCCCAGCAGTACACGACCAGTGGCCGCCCTGGTTAACACTGCACTGTATATTACAAATTCAATATTCTAAAAATAGACCAAGTGTGTCAGCGTCTGAGTTCCAGTTTGTCATCATTTATTGATTACTCACAAATTATTTCATTTGGAAAACAAACCCGCATTGCTAGTCTTTTGCCCACTTGCAAGTTCTTGCTGCACAGAGACAGCTGCCACTGGTGGCCCCTTGGCTAGACTTTTCTTTTGTGCGGATGAATTGAGCAGCAACGATCAGTAAATGTATCAGTAGGATTTCCAGCTCGTTAGGTTGAAGCAGGGCATGGGAATGGTTGAGAAGAAATGTTAAGCAAAATGTTCTGAGATGCCAAGGGATTTAATCGCCCAATTCAAATCCTTATCAACGCACTCAACTCCATAGCACATACCACTTACAGGCTCTAGATGAATATAAACGTGGGCGAGTGGGGTGAAATAATGTGTTGCAGTTGTGGAAATAATTTTACATGAATTAAACAAGTATAAATATGATGTAGCTGCATATTATCTGGAAAATGAAATAAATCAATATGTATGCTTGTCTAGCATACGCTGAGAACGCTCCACAAACTTAAATCAATTGTTGAATCAGTTTAAAGCTCACTGCATAATTAATGTGGTCAAAATCACGAAGAAGACTCCTGACATTTGACCCAATAATTTGACTCATTAAGCCAATTGGTATTGCTTACCTGATCGTCTATTTACAATAGCCCAGTGGGTGACACGATCCCTATATTTTTTATTCATACAACAGAAAGGCGTATGCCGTTGTAAAGGGGTGCATGCGAAGATGGTTAGACATTGAATCTCCAATGGGCTTCCCACTAGTTTCAGAAGAAAAAAATCCCATTCACGTAATTACAATCAGAATTATCTTGGTGTATTGACACATTGTGAAAGGCACCAATTAATAACGACAATTTCTACATTTCTTCGATCTTATGGCAGGGCGATTGGGTGCATTCTAGGTTGAGGTCGAGGTTGGTGGGCCAGTTGAGGGCTAAGTGAGAACAACATTGTGAATGTTTGAGACGCTGCCAGTGAATGAACGAAGCATATGCCATTGTTGAACGATCTGTTCCATGATTTGGCTTTGATAGTTGCGTTCGCAATGCGGGGGGCTGATATTCATCTTCTATCGGCGGTGTAAATAGGTGGTCTCTACACCTCCTGTGTGGCTTTTACATCAGATTACATCTCGTCTCACCATCGTGCCCTCTCACCCCCCCCTACCTCTCGTACTCACCTCTCACAGTGTTCCTAAAGCTGACGGAGCAGTACGTGCATTCCCAGCGCTCGGGCGATGTTCCGTGCATCGAGAGCGCACTGACGCAGGTGGTGACACTGGCGAACATGCAGGCCAAGGAGGACGCGATGTCACTCTACAAGAAAAGTATGGAAGCCGTGAACCAGCAGCTGCCCCTACCTATCGCCAAACTCAACGAGTTCCACCAGCACGCGCTGGAGCAGGCGGTGGAGGCGTTCCACCAACGATCCGTGCTCGACCGTGACAATACGCACGAGAAGGAGCTCATGGTGAGTGGACACCGTAATTGTACAATTCATCAATGTGATTTCCAAAACTCTTCGTTTTGGCACAAAAGGGACTATAACACATGGTGTCGCTGAAATCCATCTGAAAATGAACACACTCTCTGCACCAGGGCAGGTGGGAAAGTGTTGCCCTCTTGAATTCACAATCAATTCTGGCATATCCACTTCTGCGGCCCTTATCTCGCGCTGCTTTGTGATCATTCTGAACGGATTCTTTACCTCAGGATACGATAGCACGTAATTGAAGACACGGGAAAAGCATCGTTATGAGCACAATCACCACCATGACCACAAACCGCTCTCTCACAGCTCTCGCTCGTGACTGCGTACGATGAGTGGAATCAGAAGAACAAGGAAACATCCATGCAGAGGTGCAAGCAGCGCCTGTCGGAGCTCTACGAGCCCATCCGGGTGAGAGTGGCTGAGAAGATCTTCATCAAGCCCGGGGGCTACCAGGAATACAAGGGCATGATGGACATGGCCGAGAAGAGCTACCGTACAACCCAGGGCTTGGGCGACGAGGTGAGACACCTCATCGTGTCTTACCAACCATCACAGCACAGTTTGAAATATTCAGCCCATAACCCGAGTTCTTTATTATTAATGAGGCATCTACTCAATCTGTCCGCGTGACTTAGTGGTGACGCAAGCAGCTTGCAATTGGAAGGTCACGAGGTGAAATCCTGATTAGGGGTTGACTCAGCCCGTCATTTCTTTGAGTCAATGAAAAATCTAACCATTTTTGGGGAAGTCAACATCAGTGGTCCTACGGATAGCCTCATCTCTGGGATAGGAATGCTAATACGTATTTTGAGAAGTATTGGTAATTGTCATAGTAGAGCGATAATATTACGTGCTCATGTCATGCCTCTGGAAATGTAACTATTTTATTTTACCAGGCAAGGCACGCTGAGCTATATAGCACTTCTTCAGAAGCAACCTGGCCATAAATGATCGTTCAACGAAGTGGTTTATCGTGTGTAAATGTATAGCGGCCAAACACTCTAAACATATATTTCTAAATGTGGAGGGAAAAACTGGAGGACCCAGAGAAAAATCCACATAACTACAGGGAAAACATGCATACAAATATACAGGTGTCAGGGTTGGGATCGAACCCACGCACTCCTGTATACCAGGCTACGCAGTTAACATCTTGCCACCATGGTACCCACTGACCAAGGTCACCCGGCATGCGACCATTCATGCCAGATTGGCAAAAGCGGGTGCGAGGCTATGCTGTACTCAGTAGAGGGGAGTGCAGCAACATTGATTGTACTTCCTATGCTCCCCGGCCTCACAAACAACGCCTTGACCAGCACTGGGGAAGTAGAATCAGATTACTTCCATGGCCACACTGCATGGGGAGATCCTCATCCAACTCATCACTACCCGCGCACCTCCACTACAGAGATGTGCAAGATCCCCGATGTAACATATACTCAGGACGGTACTCATGCCTCTCGCTTCCGGTTCTCACACAGATGGAGGCAGTGCTCCTCGCCTTCATCGATCTGAAGAAAGAAGAGGGACATCTCATTCTCATGATGGACAAGAACGTCACTGAGCTGCAGAAGCAGAGAATTGGTGCGAACTCATCCTCGTCAGCAGAGGTTTATCCACTGCTAGATGAAGGCCTCGGTCTCGCAATTACATTAATCCATTGCGAGATCATTCATCATCCCCGCTCGTGACACACTCTCCGGGCCTTCATTCTCATTTTAACAGTTCATGTTGAGTCTCTAACTTGCATATCTTCTCAAAACCACGAGCTCCTCTAACGCGGGAACACACTCAGACCTTGGAGCTGCAGTGTCGATGTTGTTAGTTATACAGCTGCACAATCATCTTGACATGCATCCTCGTTTAGATGATATAAAAATGCACGTTGTGTTGTAATTTTAGTGCTACTTTATCACCAGTCTTGCCCATTTGCGGCCATCGTCAATCCCTTCTAGCGAAGTCCTGCCCTAGCCTTGACAGTCGATACGATGTCTCTAACCTGCGGACGTTATCTGATCCACGTCTTTCTCTTCCTCCCTCGTGGTGTAATTCGAAAGATGAGCCACTCCATGCTTCTTTGCACAACTTTTCGTAAAAAAATACTCTGCGTAGATTAAAGTAGTATTGTTTGATTGAACAAATAAACCTCGGCTCTCATATAATGTCCGTGATACAGTTATTTTTAGTCTGTTGGTGGTCGACGATGCGGCAATTGACTCATCTCAACGAGCTGTACACGATGCACTATTAAAAGTTGAAATTTTCATTATCGACATCGCGGAGTAGCACTGACTTCGGATTCATTGGTACCCCAGTGGAAAAAATAGTGTCCCAGAAATAAAATACTGAATTGCTTTGGCCATTTTGTATTATTTCATACCCCGGGCTACCGTCATAAGGATCACATTTTAAAAAGCCAGAGAGGAATGGCATAAAAAGGCAGACATCTTGGAAAAGGTGGTAGTACCCACACTTTACACCATCCACCACACGATAACTGTGGTGTGCCCGTTTATACTGCTGAGTGGGCAGAGACTGTGGGTGGTGGAGGGATTTAAGAAACATGCTCCATTGTTTCAACTGCCGCGGAGAGAGATTCAAAATAAGCGGCGATGTCTGTCGACGGTCCAGTGTGATAACCATCGCACCATGGCGGTGTACTCTGCGTGTCGGTGTTGTTTTTGCGAATTTGGGGCACACAGAGACGGAGGAGATGGAGAAGAGACTGGTCCAGCAGCAGAGGGCGCTGGAGAATACCAATGCCCAGCAGGAGGCGCAAATCAGCGCGCTCAGGATGCAGATGGAGGTGGGTGCTGACACTCGTGGGTGGACAGAGGAGAGGGCTAATAAGGTAGAGGTGCAGCCCTGCAATGGCTTGCACGCGCCACTGCTGGTGGAAGGGCGTGCAATAGGGCTGGTTCTCGAGAGGCCCTTCGATGGGTATTTTGGCCTACTTGTTCACACGAGATTAGGGGTCAGCAACCTGCGGTTCTGAAGCCACATGCGTCTCATTGACGATTGTTTCGCGTTGTTATTTATCAAGGACAGTCTCGTATTCACATGCATTTCGGCTCTTGAAATATTTTGGTTTTACCGAATTAAAAATGCCTCACCTTGTTTTTTTGGTTGCTGACCCCTGCGCTAGAAATGACGTCTTAGAATAGGTTGTAGAACTCCACACTTTACCCCACCAAATGCGATTTGTATTTCCGATTGAAACGTCGTGTCTATTGCTAAATTCGGTTGTGAGAATTGCTCTTTCAACTTAATGGTTAGTTGAAACAATAATGTTTTGTGCATGACAACGCTTGCACAGCATGTGACAATTTAGTGTCTGGCTGCATCGGGTCGGTGGAGGATGCCACAACACAGTTCAGATATTTACGTGGCAGAACGCCAAAATCAATTGGGAATCATGTGTTTGTGTACACACACATATAGCGGTGGCACAGTGGTTTACTCACTGCGCCTCAAATGAGTATCTGGTTCGATATGAAAACATTCCCCTTAGAGAAATTAGGATGGCCAGGCATATTGCTAGCCACCTATCTCTTGTGTGCAATGCTGGCTTTCATAGGTGATTGCTAACTGCACTTGCCAAGTGTTAAGGCTATACAGGGGATATTTGTCTTTGTGTTCATGCGCAGACAAACCAGCGGTCATTCAGTGACAAACTCAGGGAGGTGGAGAAGCAGACGTACGAGAAACTGGATTGGCAACAACAAAGGCATGAGAAGAAGATGGCGAGGTATGCGAAGCAGAAAATGGACCGTGGTCTATTCGCCTGCATAGGGGGCGCTATAGACAAATCCTGCACCATTTGCTAGTTTAAACATGGCAGAAAATTGCGTGGCAGCCTAGTGGGTGCTTAGCTGCTCGAAGAAAAATCCTTTACTGATCACACATACCCAAGTGCAGTGTTGGTGCATGGTGTAAATGGCATTTTCCTCTCGACGTTCACAAATTAGACCTTTTCATATGCAGTAATGTGTCTTTAGTTTCGCTTCTGAAGTACCCCAAAGCACTTCCCTGTGTTTACAGCGATTAGTGCTTCATTTATGTATAGAAGACTACGTGTGCATGGGGTAATTCATTTTCTATAAGTGTTCTTATATCCACCTATACCTCCGGTCAGTGTTGAATATGCAAAGGTGGGCTGTACAGATACCTGGAGCCTGCTTTTCAAAACATAATGTGTGCAACAAAGTCCAGTCAAGTGCAACAGCTTCAAAAAATAATTAAAATTTGCCTTTTTAAGGTGACATAACTGTTGCAGAATTTAGATAAAAGACAAATTGTAAGCTGGAAACTCGATGGGAGCAAGGGAGGATGTGCTTATATAAGTTCCCCTTTGGAACCCCTGATATATGTAATGTAAGGGTGTGTGGTGTTCGTATAATAAATATGCTTATATAAGGTGTGCTCATATCCATCTTCCATATGGCAGATTGAGTGAATGATTGATGGGCTTCATAACTCACCAGATAAGTACCCATTAATTTTTTTCAGAGGTGGCCAGGAGGCTTGCGGAGGTCAGAGCGTTGAGATGGCACTGCTGTCATCCTGAGTTTGAATCCAGGCAGTAACTCGTGATTTAACTCAGTGATTAAACTCTCGGGGGTCGTGCGTTTAAGCCTGTGCCTAATCGTCAACGATGGCACACAAAGAAACCCCGACCACTTAACATTTGGTTCTGCACTTGAATTGTCTGAATTACAGCTCTGTCTATTCAAATTATTGGTTTGCCTGTCATGAAATGAACATTACTCTCTGTAGCAAGAGGGTGGGCAAAGTGCTGCACCCTGCTGCGTCGAACGGAGATCACCTGCAGTGGTCTCTGAGGTAGCTCTGTGATATCCGCTTCCGCGGGCCATTGTGTAACACCAAGGGTTGCACTGCTCTGCAGGAGATCTCAATGGAGTAGTATTCGTCTCATGACGTGAAGCCGATAGCACAATCGGGATATCAATTGGAAGAAAAAGGCATTATAAAGGTAGACCTATGCAGATGTTAACTCAGTTGAATGAAACTTAAAGAGTTTCTGATAAAAAAAAATATACAGGATGGATGTTTTCTTGAACGCGCACAGCGGAGGCGGGGCACGACCACCACCCAAACACCACAATGGCCGGGAGTGGCCTAAATACCACTCTGCCTGTAACATTAAAACCGGTTCACATCCTTCCTATCTCAAATTAAATGTCCATAACACTCAGCTCCAGGACTCTCTCCCTGAAGGACTCACTAACACAACTTGTGAACAACGTTTATCCAGGACCTTTGTCTCTACCTGAAGGCCTCTGAAACCACCTGTGAATAATAACCTTCATCCTGGGCTTTCTCCCTGCCTGAAAACTTAAAATGTGATCACACATGTAATGTGATGTTACACCTTGATGATAAGTGGGTTACACCTGGATGATGAATTGGTTACACCTGGATGGTAATTATGGGCTCTGCCTGCCTCAGCCCACAACCAATGGGGAGTCGAGCCAGGGGCGTGGCCCTGATGTAATGTGAAGGCTACACCTGGAGGATGATGATTGGCTCTGCTGGCTTCAGCCCGCAACCAATGGGGAGTTGAGTTAGGGGCGTGGCCCTGGGGCTGTACAGTGGGCTCTGGAAAGTTCCAGGGATATGGCTGAGGATTGGCTGTGGGGCATCACGTGGGCCAGGGATTAAAAGGGGCGGAGAAGGACAGCACGTGGTCAGAGTGTGGAGGAACGAAGGTGGAAACCACGCTGGTGCCGTGGTCTGCCACGTGGCGGGCCGCGGCAGTCTCTCCCTCTCACGCTGTCAACAGCGTGAAGGAGCCATAGAGTAGAGGGCGGATGTAGTGAGAGCTGTGACGAAACTCAATAAAGAATTCTGAATTCCTGACGTCTCAACGGGGTTTATTACACACATGAATCCGTACTGTACCTTTAAAATAAATCTCAGAAATTACTTCACCACGGCACACATTTAAAAAATTTGGAAAACATTTTAACCATTTAACCAATTTCCTTGAAGCCTGATATATCACTCAAGTAAAATAACTCTCTGTCCTCAACTCACTGATAATCTTTGTACATTTTGCCTCGAAGCATGGCTCATGTGTGCACACCTGTATTATACAATAAAGATGCTTTAAACCTGCTCATGTGTCCGTGTTTATCAGACTCCACGATTTGACGTTATTCCTCCGATGTAAGACTTCTCATCTCAAGACTCAGTAGCCATCTGCAAACCCAAAATCCTCTTGCCTTCAAAAAATATTCCCTCCCGTGCTTTTACAAGGCAAACCACTTCTTGAACCACATCAACTCCAGACATCTATCCATCAGATTCACCATGGAAGTGGAGAAAGATGGCAAACTACCATTCTTAGATATTCTGTTTGAGAGGAGACCTGATGGATCCTTGGGACATTCTGTCTACAGGAAAGCCACCCACACAGATTCCTACTTGAAACCAGATTCCCACCACCACCCATCTCAAAAGAATTATCTTATCAAAACACTATACCACAGAGCTCATGGCATTTCTGACCAACACCACCTGGCCAGTGAATTGAGACATGTACATCGGGCCCTCAGGATGAACGGATACTCTGAACGCACCATCCGCCAAACTGTGTCTCCCACCATACAGAAACAGCTACTTGAAACTCCGATCAAAACTGTCACGTTACCATACATAGCAGGCGTGACCAAAAAGATCTCCAAAATTCTAAACAAACATAAGATCCAAGTCCGATTCAGTACAGTACATAAAATCCGTGATCTAATTCCATCTGTGAAGGATGTCATCCCTGACTTGCAATACCCTGGAGTCTATAAACTGAGTTGCAGCTGTGGTAACGGTTACATTGGGGAAACGAAACGTCATGTCTCTGATCGTGTCCGCGAGCACAAGTCAGATTTGAAACACGGCAAAATTGAGTCTTCCGCCATTGCCGATCATTGCTACAGCGCGGTGGGCTCTCATGAGATTGTTTTCTCCGAGACTAAGGTGCTCTGCAAACCCTCTGGCTACCATGAAAGGTTTGTACACGAAGCCATTCAGATACACAAACACAGACACAAGTTCAATCGTGATGATGGGTACAAACTTAGTAATCATTGGAAAGATGTTATCAACCATGTAAAAAAGACTTAATTACACATTTTTGGACCATCTTATCTGACAGGCACTATTTTACTTTACTTTACCGAGTGTTAACATCCCCAGTATTTAACAGTACTCTCTTTATTGCTCAGCCAGCACTGGTATAAACATGGGCATTTTCGTTATTTTCTATCATGTGTATCAACAGGTGCTTGTACATACACGTCCACGTACACTTGCACCCCACACTCTCTTTTGGCCCCCCCTCCCCCTCTCCGTCCAATACGTTGGCGTGTGCACAATAGTTGCTTGCTCACAACCACGTCCACGTCGCCGACTCTCGCTTACCACTTCGTGCATTCTTTTGGCCCCGCCCCCCTCCCCCCACCCCCTCCTGATACGTTTTACGTAGCACTTCGTGCCTTCTTTTAGCCCCGCCCCCCTCCCTCCCGATACGTTCCATTCATTGGCTACCACATTCTGATGAGCTCCCCCCCCTCTCCTCCCCCCTCAACTTGCTTTTAAGGGCTTACATCTTGAATCCTTGCCTCGCTTGATGCAGCAAATCTGGCTGTGACGGTCCCACCTGATGACGGAGACTTGTGTTGCCTCCGAAACGTCGTGATTTTTTATTGTTTTATTTTTATTAATTTCATTTTTTACCTACGTGACTTTACCGAAAGAACTAAGAGTATGAATCCTTGCAGTCACAAAAGCTTCAAATCTAGAAGGCAAAGGAAGGTTTCCACGTGGCGTTGGGCCGCGGCTCCTGTGCCAACCTCTATCCCTCTTTCCACTCAGGGTTGTGCTCCTCTGGCGCCCAGTGTCACCCCGAGGGACGAGCAGCACATGCTGGGGTGGGTGGAGGCACCAGTCTCACTTTTCCACTGATTAAATTAAATGTATGGTGCTCGAGCAGCAGAGGTCGCAATCGGGTACCCGATACCCGTACCCTACCCGATACCCGGCTACCCGTACCCGGCCGGGTATGGGTACAGGTAGCCGTTTGCGACCCTGGTGCGACCGGGTACGGGTAGGCCGTGAGTCACTGGTGAGTAACAGTTTGTCACTCATTTCCCAACGTCTTGTCTCTTCTCACAATTCAAGTTCCTAGAATCAACCCACCCGTGCCTGCAACATGGCTTCATCCCAGAGGTCGCAATCGGGTACCCGTACCCTACCCGATACCCGGCCGGGTACGAGTAGCCGGGTATCGGGTAGGGTACGGGTATCGGGTACCCGATTGCGACCCTGGTGCGGCCGGGTACGGGTAAGGAATCAAAACCCGTTTGCGACCTCTGTCGAGCAGTCTGCTTGGCGGGGCCTATCCATCCAGTCTCTCTCTTTTTCGCTCCCCTTGGCCAATCCCCTACTTGTAAATCTATCCGAGGCTCCTCCCTCTCTCGTCAATCTTGCCCAAAGTCACCTCCCTGCTCCCCTACCCACGAGAAGCAGGGCCTTCCCCCCTTCTTCTCCCAAGCACACCGCTGTAATCTCCATATACAGTATATAAAAGGCAAAGTTGTGAATGTGTCTTATCAAAATGTTTAGCATACTTCCCGACATGCAACAAACTTGAAATTTGCCATGTGGGTACTTTCCAGACTGTACACTATGCAAAAATTATGAAAATACACTTATATTTCTTTTTGAGGGGGGGGGGGGGGGCTCAATAATGCATTATTTTTTTGCACGGCAAGTGAGCTGTGACGTCAAATCTGTCATGTGACCCGCGCGTGTGGAAGCGTAACGCATTGTAGTGGTTCGCGCGCTGTGCTACGAACCTGGCGACCCGAGTTCGATTCCCGCTCACAGCCACCACCGGTAACGATTATTTCAACCGGTCCTGGGCCCTCCCCTAGGTCGACTCAGTTTCAAACGAGTAACTGGTGTGGTGTGTGAACATCGCCACTGGGGAGACAAAGGCGGCCGGGCGTGGTGCTGGCCACCCACTCCCTCGTGTGCCGTGCCGGCCTTCATAGGTGCTCGCTAACAGCACTTGCTCCCTACAGGCAACACGGGAGATTTTGTCTTTATTCTGTGTGTGGGGAGGGGGGGGGGGCTGTGTCGTGATTCGTTCGCTGCTCTATGAACCCGGCAACCCGAGTTCGATTCCCGCTCACGGCCACCACCGGTGACGATTATTTTAACCGGTCCTGGGCCTCCCCTAGGTCGACTCAGCTACAAAACGAGTAACTGCTGTGGTGTCTGAACATTGCCACTAGGGAGACAAAGGTGGCCGGGCGTGGTGTATCCAAGTCCCGGGCGAAGCCGGGTAGTACAGCTAGTCTTCTACATAAGTGAAATGGACATGGGATGAGGTAAGTATAGCTCAACTTTACAGTTTACGAGCGGGAAGTACCCGGCGTTGCCGGGGGGGAAATATATTTCAAAACTTATCTTCTCTTAAAAACATAACATAAACATACACAAATACTAAGCTATTATGAAAGCCCGGGTTTGTGTTTGTCCACTTTGTATGTTAACAAAATTATAAGAGGCTTGCAGAAGTCCTGAATCAAAAAGTAATAGAGAGTGGGGGGTAAATAGTTGATCTAAAAGGTTTCTGAAAATTGTCGACCCCCCACCATCAAAAAGTATTTTTTACCCCCCTTAGGCATATATACCTACACACCCTACATACAATAGAGTGAGTTGTATCGAGTGACTGTATAATAGTGTATTGACATCGCTGGATGTCAATATGCTGTGGGTGTAGTACCGGCCTTAGAGGGGCATGGCGTGTGATGTAACGACATTGCGGATACCACAATGTTGTGGGTGTAGCACCGGCCTTAGATGGGTAAGGTGTGCGCTGAATAATAGCACTGGATGGCACCACGCTTTACAGCACAGGGTGTGTGGGTGCCGACCCAAGGATAAGGTTGTGTGAGACCATGGCACTCTGGTTGACCCGGGAGGACATGTGACCGGTTAAGTTGACGGAGGGGCCCCAAGAGGGGGCTAAGGGAGGTTACGTGATTGGGACCCAGATCCTTCCCGAGGATTCTAGAAGGTGGACGTGGCCAAGGGCGGAGCCGGCCACACCACAGAGAATATAAGCCGGGTCCTGAGAGGGACCAGGGTTGTTGTTCATCCTGGAAGAAACCCTTTGTCTACGTTCTCCATTCAATGAGTCTGCTACACGTGGACCCGGGCCGACATCATTAGTAACTAGTCTAGTTAGCCGGGTGGTCACCACCTTAGGTTGTTATTCTGTTAAGGAGAAGTTACCCCGTGTGTTAGAACTGAATAAATGTGTTGCTTCCAAGTCTACGTCTGCGACTCAGTTGAACCCATTACAGTAGTATCTGGCTCTACAGTAGTATCTGCTGACTCTGTAGTTGTATATACTAACTATACAGTAGTAACTACTGAGTACAGTAGTATCTACTGACTATTGTAGTATCTACTAACTGTATAGTAATATTTACTGACTGCAGTCGTATCTACTGACCGTAGTATCTACTGACTCAATAGTAGTGTAATGCTGATATATCCCATCATTCGGGTAATTAAGGGAGTGAGCCTGCTGCGGAGTACCAGAAGGAGAGCGTAGCCAGAGGGCGGGGGGAAGGCCCCGCTAGGGGGATAAAAGGGCAGCGTGCTACAGTAAAGAGGTCGTCATTGTGGGTAACACTCGGTGGGTCGGGTCACGTCGTCGGGTTGGGATCTTCAATAACCTCGTGTGTAAGAGGGTTACATAGTGTTACACAGTGTTACATGGGGGTAGTTACGTTTACACCAATTATAGAACCCGTCCCGTAAGGGAAGTGTTAAGTAAAGACTCGCCTCAACTCACGTAGTGTGTGTGTCTTTATTGAAGCACTACAGTAGTAGTATCTACCTACTCTACGGTAGTATCTACCGACTCTATAGTTGTATCTACCGACTCTATAGTAGTAACTACTAACTTTACCGTAGTATCTAATGACTATAAGAAGTAACTATAGTAGTATCAATTTACTCTATAGTAGTATATTCCGACTCTTTAGTATGTATGAGAATAGGTGTTCCCCATTTTTATGTCAACAAAACAGGTGTTAAGA